GTGTGTGTGTGTGTGTGTGTGTGTGTGTGTGTGTGTGTAAGGAAAAAAAAGTTTAGTAATAGGGAAAATTAGCAAACTCAACTTAGAGCTCTGATTTCTCCAAATCTCCAGCAGTGACCCTTGTTTAACCGTTGCACATGATACTTTTTGGACTGTTTCCAATGCTTTTTGGGGTTGGTAGAAATAATATCTGCTATGATCTTTTTGCTTGCTTTGATAACAGCAAAATGAAAGTTTTGCTTAGAAACGTTCTTCCTTGTTATGTAACATGTGTTGTTGATATGTGATTAGCTCTGTAAATAAAAAGAAATAAATATGTTAACTGTAGTTTCTATGGCAAAATGGCAAATCTGAAAGCTGGGTATTTAGTTTGTAATATTTGTGACTGGAAAAGAAAGTATTTTTCGGTCAGTAAGTTTTGTTAAGCTCTGTTGACACGTTTCTGTTAAACTATAATTGTATACAGTTTTTTTTTTCAAGATTTGGCTGATTGGTTGCAAACATGCAGGGAAGGCTTTTGTTTGAAAGGGACTGTTTAATGTTAGTCAAATTGTGCATATGTGAGTCAAACGTGTGTTAACTTTGCTGTGTAAATATGCCCAATGATAATTGAAGAAACTGCAAAAGGATCTTTTCTAGATTTTAGTGGCAACTAGCAGAAAGGATAGTAAATAACGATGAAAGCAATGAATTGCTAGCGAAACTGAAACATGACTGCTATTGGTTGAAAGGTTTAAGGTTTAAGGTAATGATCTCCAAACTTTTCAGATTTTGATACACAAAATAAAATCTGCCGAAACTCTTCATTCCAACTATTGCTAGTTGAAAAATGGAAATATTTTCTAATATGCTGTTTAACAAAAAGATCTGTTAGTCACCAAATTTTTTATCCTTTTACTGCATGTTTGTTATTTTTATCTCATTACAGAGCTAAACATTGTCATTGGCAAACATTTTTACAGTTAATACAATTTCTGTATATCTTCTTGGTGTTTTGAGAATCCAACTTTGGGAACCACTGGTTTAGAAAACCAGCTGCAGAACCTCAGTCCATTTATTCCAGTGGAAGTTGTGGAACACAGCATTTATATAATTTATATCACATCATAGTGTGATGACTGATAATTATCTGGCAAATTTCAGACCAACAAATTCATAAAAAAGAAAACAAATACAACCAAGATACATTTTATCGTGTGAAGGTTATTTGTCTAACTTGAACATGTGAATGAATTGTTGTATTTCTTTAGTTTGTTATTTCAGAACTCAAATGAAAAAAAAAAAACAGTTAGGAAATGCTGCAAATCAGGTATGCAAAAGAAAAAAGGCTAAACAGTGAAACAAGACATGTTGACGCTGTTCCTTTCTGGGGTTTTTTCGTGCGTTTCTGTCTTCTCCTTTTTCAAACAAAATCCTGCTTGAAAACACATCCATACACCATCAGCGCGTTCGACTGTACCTTAATTTCAGAAGGTGAGAGTTTGTCTGTTCGCCTGCCAGTCTCCAGAGAATCCTGGTTCTTTTTGTTCAGGTACACTGCAGCCACTTGGCTYTGCTCCAGGAAGGACAGCAGAATCAGATGATTGCTCAGCACCGCTGGGGATGACATCATCACACCAAATGTCTTACAGGTAAACAAAAAGGACAAGAACAGCCTAATGCTGATAAGGTGACCTGTATAGAGACTAGAATCTTTAGACATTGGCAAACTTGGAAATAAAAATGACCATGTTTAGCTGTTGAATGATAGATATTAACATTAAATAAAACAAAAGAATAATATTTTATTCTAAAATCTTTCAAACATTTGGATTCATGACTTTCTATTTATTAGTAGTCGACAAGGACCTTCCAAGAACTGCTTTATCAAGAGTTCCAAGATTGAGAATATTATCAATGAGTTTTTATCAGTTTTACAGTTTTAAGTTTTCCAGTTTATCATCCCTTAATTTAAAGTCCATCCTGATTTATACAAGATTTAAGATTCTCAACTTTATAATTTAACGTACTTTGTCAAACATAAGTGAAACCCAAAGCGCCTAACAGCAATAAAAAGACTTCAACTTAAATTCTGGATTAATTTCCCTCTTCCATTCTTGCTCTTTCACATCCTTCCTTTCCACGTACTTTATTCAGTTTGAGAGCCTGTAATTAAAATATTTAGTGTTTTCAAATGCTCTGCAACACCTTCTTCTTTCTATATCGTCACTTCATGTCAGTGCACTAAATGCTTCATGACATATGTTTTTAATATTTTTTTATTTATTATTTGTATTTGTAATTTTTTATTTATTTATTTATTTATTTATTTATTTATTTATTTATTTATTTATTTATTTATATTGTGTGGTAGAAGAACACACTTGATCCTGTTCAACTCTTTCTGGAGCTGCGTGGAAACGTTGATTAGCAATTAAGCCCCCCCTCCCCTTCCCTCCTTCAAATTAATCTGTTTATGAAACCAATTAAATGGAAAAAGAGGGGTGGMGCGGGGTTGTTACACATGTCTCTCAGATATCCCGCTTTGAGTTGAACGAGTGAGGCTGCACCCCGGGATTTAAAAAAATAAATAAAAATCTAACCGGCAATTAAGTGTAGAGTGTGTTTATTTATAAACAGGAGGATATTGGTATTTGATTATGCTTCAAATCATCCTGTTGTGTGTAAATTTTGAATTAATATGCTAATTTTTAAGAGGGAAGAGCAGCACAGCTTGAAAAAAAAACATAAAAAACTAGCATCTTAAATTAGGTCAACTGAGTCAGTCTGTTGGAGTTGGATTATACAGAAATGCATTTGTAATGTAAACAGGTTCAATGCTTAAACCATGAAAAAAAATAAACACACAGCCATTAACAAACCCTTAGCTCTTTGAAACAACATTTAATGGAATAGTAAGCATCTTTGTGATAGATTATAGACAAATCAAGTTAAATGCAGTTTAGCATTGATCTCTATGGGTGTCTATAAATGAGATTAAGATTAATCCCATTCTTTTCCAAATGAAGGAAGGGATCTGAAACCAGGCTGTGGCCCAATCTGGGACCAGGTGGCTGATTTAGCGTTAGCGTCCAGACCTGCACGACCCACCATAAAACAAACCCCCAGACGCACACACGCACACACACAAGTCATGGTCTAAACATGCACTGTGCACCTCCTCATATGCGTTCATACATGCAAGCCTGCAACTAAATTTTATGTATGCACATTTACACACGCAAACAAATACACAACCACATTCACACCCACACACAAAAAGCAAAGATTCAATATGTTAAAAGCAATCCCAGACAAACGCACACATACACACACAGTCCCCTTAAATTCATTTAATGCCATCTCCTCTGCAGCATGTTGACATAAGAGGCCAATGGGCTTAAGCAAAGCACATTTAAACATGGGTAAATGAAACTCGCTATGAAAAATCACTTAAGGATGCTTAATCGCGGAGCATATGCTCAGTTTGGCCCAGCCTTCGGCCAATGGAAGCCGATAATACTTTGATGGTGTAAAATTTTGGTAATCTGCTTCTCAGTATGATGCAAACAGGGCTCACGGGTCCAGCACAGTGTTAACTGGCATTCATGTTGAAAAAGTTTAAAGGAGAACACTGAGCCTGCTTCTTCAAACAAAAAACAAATCTGGCTACAGATCCCTCGCGTCTCGAACATACAAAACAAAGGCGTTTGTTGGATCCATGCAAATCCGAAAAGGGATTCCTTCTTCATTCAAATACTCGCAACCTCTCTCTGCTTCAGAATGTGGTCAAGTCCTAATYGGAAAATGACAACTAAATATCATTTTATACCATGGTAGAGATTAAGATTTGGTTGAAGATGCAACTTTTAGTCAGTTAACATGGCTCTTGATCATTTCAATCGCGTTCAAATTAAACTTAATGCTAGCCTCTCATTAGGATTTCATTTATGTTTTTTGTGTTTGGAATTGAGTTGTTTCCACCCTTATTATAACCCAAAGCTAGAGTCATGTGGAAAAGATACAGTATATTTATAATAAGCAATACTTTTTATGTTATTGTAACATTTTTCATTAAAACTGTATACTGGGTACTGCATTAAAAAATATGGATGGTCCTATCCTTGCTGCAAACCTGAAATTAGCCACAACACGCCCAATCTGATATTTTCTAAATGTCTTGGCAGATGCTGACATTTTCTTTTAAAGCATTTATTGGTTGATGCTATCGTTTATTCTTAAAAGATATAAAAAAATCCATTCCTGCCTGGCACACACACGCACACACACACTCACACACAAGGCTGCCACAACACGGTTGTTAGTGTAAACTATTTCAATCATTGTAAATGTGTTGGACGAGGCGATCTGGTCTGGCCCTCTGCTCTAATTGTCTCAGCCTAATTTAACAAGTGGCAGATGTGAGAACCCCAATCTGACTACAACCCCCCGAACACRCTCACACAATCCCCGGAACCCACCCTCTCACAACCATTACTCTAATAATTAGTGCCCTCTGAGGCTTTGAATGAAGCTCAGCGGGAGGTGAGTGTGTACCTGTGTGTGTGAGCGTGTGCACACTTTCACGTGTGTAAATGTGGGTGGACATACAGTAAGTGTTTGATGATCGGTCTAAAAAGGAAAAAAAAGAAGTGTCTGTAATTATGTGTGTGTGTGTGTGTGTGTGTGTATGCGTGTGTGTGTGTGTGTGTGTGTGTGCACTATAGGGGCTTTATCAAGTGTCTCGAGACCCTGGGCGGAAGTGGGGAGGGCAGTGTTATGAACAAATAATTGATACAGAAAGAAAGAAATAATTAGCAGATTTGGGCCGGCGTCCACAGCCTCTTTTATTCTCTCCTGGCAGGTCTGCAGCACGGAGGGTGGGGTGGTGGGGGGGTAGGTGATCCCTGGAGGAACGCGCGATGGAGGGAAAAACACTGATGGATGCTCTTAAGGGAAGGCCCCTGGACACATGCAGCACAAAAGGATTTGCTCGCAATTAGCTAGCAGAGTTGCCCGGCTCACCTGTGGCACCTGTTATGTGCGAGAGTCGCCGCTTGTGTAAAAGAGTGTTTGTGTGACAAAAGTGAGGCGTGTGTGTGTGCGTCAGTGGTAGATGTGAATCTGCATGCAGAAAGTGCAGGTGTAAACACATAATCTGTGCTGACAAAAAGATGAGTGGAAGAGGGTGCTTTTATTTTACAAAAAATAAAAGTAATGAGCACGTGTTTTTGTTGTTGTTGTTGTTGAGCCTGTTTATCTAACGGGTTCTCATCCATAACTTGGTACTTAAGGATGAGAGCTCATGTGTTTGAGTATAAATATATAAGCTCTGGGACCTTTTTAAAGTTTAAAACTCCCTTTTAAAAAAGAAGTATGGGAAAACATTCAGAGTATTTGTTACAAAGTGCATGATTTCAAAAAAAGAAACTGCTGAATTGAAAAGAAAACAGCATCAATTTGATTTTTAGTGATTTTCTGTTTACTTTGGTCTTGAGTAAGGGTGAAATCTGGGATTAATTTTGATTTTGACGTCATTTTTACCCAACATTTCAGAGACTCAGATTACTGCACAGTGGACTGAACTCTCGACAGTTTTGTACCATTGTTGTTGTTTTTTAGGTAACTGTACGGGCATGTTTTAAACACTACGGATAAAGTTTGTGCAGAGGCATGCAAGAAAGCGGATCGCAACCAACGCCTGCCAAACTTCTCAACTAGTAATTTTGCAAAGCTTCACAGAGACGCCTGAGATAATAGATGCACCTCTGTCACAGCTTGTAAAGGCCACTCAGTTTCAGTTATGCACATTTTTCTATTAAACAAACAGAAAGTGAGGGAATAAACAACTGGACTCTCCCAATTTCCCTCTTTCATAGTTTTAGCTACATTATATGAATTATCTGCAACACCAAAGTATTTGTTCTTATAAAGTTATGTAAACTACAAAAAACACTAGGGCTCGGCAATAAAACAGTGATAAATTTTGCGTTAGACGTGATCAATATCAAAAGAAAACAGAATAGATAGAATGCTGATAATTTCACTAAACGCCAATCTAGAACTGCACGGCATTCTGGGACTTGTGGGCAGCAGAAAAGCTTTAGCTGCTCAACTTCTCATGGTCCAGCTAAAGGCCCTGTCACACTATAACGTTTTAGACAACTTATGACAGTTTTAAAGACGTATGTTGAAGATGTAATAAAAAAGAAAATGACTTGAAGCCTCTTTTAGACAGGTATATCCTGTAATGTGAACACATTGATTAAATAAATAAATTTTATTAGTAATTTATTTTTTTAATCAATAAAATAAATAGATTTTATAAGTAATTTAGACTTTTAAAAAAATCATAAGTTGTCAAAAACGTTATGACAGRGCCTTTAAGCAAGGCTGGTGGTGGCATTGGTATTACATCACCAGTTTGACAGTACTTATGAATCAGCCCCCTTATTTTAAATGGGTAAAACTAGAAACTAATCGATAATTATTGAGAGTGATATGAAATGATTACATATATTGTGATACATTTTCAGCCCTGTCACCCAGCCCTAAAAACACTTTTAAAAATTTAAGCTACTTTAGAGCTCTGTCTGTCTGACAGCATATTACTAATTTAATAAATAATTGTTGCTGTTGTTCAAATCAAAGATGTTATTGATGCCGCTCACCTGATTTACGATCCTGTCCTGTGTAATTGGCTTTATTTATCATTTTCACAATGCAATAACAATTATTTATATGACCAGTGTCTGAGAAACAGAAGATTCTGCTTTAGACTCACGAATCTGTTAATGTTAAGCAGCCAAGCAATTAGACATATAGTATATACTCCCAATCTGTAATAACATGTTGCTTTTCTACAACTCACTTCTCACAAAGTTGCAGAGCAGTAGTGAGACTTAAGTAGACATCCTGTCTATTTCKAACAACCTTTAAGTTGAAATCATTCTGTCACTGCAGATGGTTRCAGTTTTTTAAATCACAGCGTTCTCCCTCAGCAGGACAACAAAGATTTATTAATTTTTTTTAACCAGTCATTAAATAACGTCAAATCAAAAAAAAAGTGGAGGTACGGTACAGATAACACGGCAGAACTTCCATTTAGTGTAAACTTGCTGCAATAAAGCAGTCCATAAAATGACAGAAGTACAAACGTGCAACACTGTAACTCACCATCAGTCACAGTGTTGGCAGGAAGTCGACCCACTAATATGCGATCTATACAAACATGTTCAAGCTGGGGTCCGTTTAGAGTGAGAGTCACCAGCACTCCACTGCTCAGCATCACCTGCACAAATCACAGCAATAAACAGGCTCACTGGAATGATGCAGTTAGAACAACAGTTCCAAGACTTAAAGTTTGTGWTTTAAAAATAAGTGTTTTAATGATTTGTGTTTAGGGAAGGATATCAAAACTAGAAGCAAGCTTTTTTGCAATCAGACTGAACATCAATTTGTATTTTTTTTATAAATGTCTGACATGGAAAACCAGCATTTAAAGCAAAAAAAATGAATATTTTTAATTGAATTTTTATTTCAATTAAATATAACAGGATTTCTATACATTTTCAATTTCTAAAGCTTTAACTCTCCAACTTAAAACAACTACATTTATGGTATTTGCCTTCAGTAGTTATCTTGCTCTTCTCTAAGTGTTGTATTTGTTTTTTCTTAAAACAGTTATAAAATCAGAATTTCCATTTCAGCTAAACATAATTKAACATTTGATGTTATAGTCATGCTTTGAGCTGAGAGCTGTGAGGACCGGCGCACATCCACTCCCCTCACTAACAGGTGCCTTAGTGTTYGTGTGTGTCTGCCTGCACACAGTGGGTGTCGGGCTTGGAGGGGTGTGTACCTGGCAGCAGTTCTTGGTTCTCCATCTGGTGTGAATGCAGGTGTTGGTCTGCAGCAGTTCCTGAGTGAGTGCGGTGGACAAAGTGAAAGACAAAAGAGGCGGAGGTGGACAACTTGTGACAAAAAATAAAACAAACATACAGAGGTGACGCCGATTTGATGCTGGGTGAAAACCCAGAAATTTAATGATAAATTAGACACACACAAAAAAATAGAAGACAAAAAAGACTTAAAACTGTGACCAAAAACTAAAACAGTTCTCAGTGCTGCTCAGAGCAGTAGTCACTTGTCTCCACAGGTGGTCACTGCAGCCGTTCCTGCTCATGGAGGAGGAGGGGGTGGGTGGGGGAGCGACTTGGAAAAGGAGGCAGGTAAGGACTGCGCGTGTGTGTGTGTGTGTGTGTGTGTGTGTGTGTGTGTG